TTAATAGACTTCAACACCTTTTTGTAGGATAACTAGGAAAAGGGAACTTCCTCAATCTGACAAAAGCATAAACAAAAAGCTTGCTGCTAATCTCGTACTTAATGATCCACATTGAAAGTACTCTCCCTAAAATCAGGAACATCAGCATAGTATCAGAAGTCCTTACCAATGAGATGAGACCAAAAGAAGGTACAAATATGGGAAATGAATAAGTAAATGGTCATCATTGGCAGATTTGCTGGCAACCCAGCTACAAAACTACAAAAACTATAAATGTTAACACTTGAAGTTAACAAGAGCACAAAATAAGGATTCATATTTAAAAATTAATTGTATTCCTACAGAGTAGCAATGAATAACTAAAAAATAAAATATTAAAAAAGAATGCTAAACTGTACTTGAACAGCAATTAAAATTTTAAAAAGTTAAAAGAATACTATTTACAGTAATGTGAAAAGTTTTAAGTATTTTAATAAATGTAATGAAGGTAAACATTAAAAATCACATAACATTGCTGAAAGAAATTAAAGAAATCTTACATTTCCCACATTCATAGAGTGGGGAATTGAAGAGTCGGGATTTTAAAGACAACATTTTCCCTCCAGATTGAGCAGTACAAACACTGCAATGGCGATCAGAATCACAGCAGGCTTCCCTGAAGAAGTCAACAAGATGACTCTGAAGTTGTGGAATCGCGAAGTAAACAGAACAGCCAGTCCTGAATAGTGACAGTGGTATGGGGTTCAGGCCACTTGACTTCAAGACTCACTGTAAAGCCTCAGTGATCAAGACAATGTGATGTTGTCATGAAGAGAGACCAAAAGAGAAAAACAAAACAAAAAGGTAAAAACTGAAAAAAGAGAATCCAGAGGTAAATCCACCACGGCGCCAAATCCATTTGATAGAGAAAGAAAAGGTTTTTGACAAATAGCTTTAGAACAACTGAAGATGAAGTGAAATTAAGTAATTTCAGTTTCATTCTCATAAAGTACACAATATTTAATTCTAGATGAATGATAGACCTCAATGGCTATAATAAAACTTCTAGAGTAAAACCCTCAAGGGAGCTGTTAGAGTATCTTTATGACTTTGAAATACACAAAGACTTATTAGGTCCCTAAAAGCACTAACTATAAACCAAAAACATGATAAACTGGACTCCAAAGTTAAAATTAATTTTAATCAATATATTTTTAAAAATTAACAGGAACATCATGGACCAGAGAAATATATTTGTAATATACCTGGCAAAGGATGTCTATCTAGAATATATTTAAAAACTACAAATCAACAAAAAATTTTCAGGAAATGAACAAAAGACTTGAATGGACACCTAACAAAATAAGATAATTCCAATGACCAAAAAGTACATGACATGGGGCTCAGCATCATTATTCGTTAGGAAAATGCCAATTAAAATTAAGTGGTATGCTTGCTTTAGTACATACACTAAAGTTAGAACATACTGAGAAAATTAACTTGGCCTCTGCACAAGAAACGTCCTGACTTGTTCACATTTTTTGAAATTGCCCAAGGCCCTCTCACCCTTTGCTCCAAGGAACTAATAAGACACTGCATGTGGTACCCAACATTGAAACTGATTTTCACAACAACTACAAAAATCACACAGTGACTTCACTTCTCATCTTCTAGAATAACTAAAACCAAAAGGCTGACAATACCAAATGAATACAAGGGTGCAGACCAACTAGGACCCTTATTCGTTGGTGACTTGGGGAGCAGTGTAAGTTTTTTTATAAAATTTAATGCATTATAGCCCATGAATAGCATGTCTGTATGTGCTCAGGTATTAACATGTCTCCAAACATTTGCGTAAGAAGGTCTATTACAGCTTTTCATGATAGCCATAAACTATAAATAACTCAAATGTTCATCAACCATGGGATAAATAGGTTGTGATACACAGGTATAACAGAAAACTTTTTAGAACTTAAAGAAACAACAGTGCGGATGGATTTCAAAATTAGTATGTTCTGTGAATGAAGCAGTCACAAAATAATATGACCATGTTGCTGCATGTGTGTGAGGCCCAGGCAGCAACAGGTAAAACTATTCTGTGGTGTTAGCAGTCAGAAAGTTGTAGCTTTGTCAGGGGTATGGAGCTTGGTTGACTCCATATATACCTGGGGCGAAGGAATTTTTATATGCTGTTTGGGGTGGGAGTTACACGAGTATATACAATTATCAAAATTATCTAACAGAACACTTAAAAGGTGTGCATTTCCCACTATGCAAATTAGACCACAATTAAAACATTAAAAAATATTGTTGTTAATACACACATCTGCCAGGAGGACCAAAGAACATGGCTTGGGGCCATGCAGAAGGAAAACACTTCTTAAAGTTCAGCGGCTGCTGTGGCCCAGGGGTGAGTCCAGGGCTGTGCCCACGCACTGCAGGCAAAGACCCCCAGAACCCACTCCTGCAGAAACTGCCCCGAGACCTCCCTGGAGGGAAAACTTCCTTGACTCCTAAAACACCAAGCCTAGCCGATACACCTACATCAGTAAATTGTGTCTTTGCTTCACACATTTCTACTCAAAACTTTTACATAAACTTAAGGATCTGTGTGCTAACACCAGATCGTACCAACAGTACAGCATGTGACTCACTGAAGAGCAACAGCGCCACTGGGTAGAACAAGTATGGGCTGGATTTTCTCTGCTGTTTGGGATGAGAGTTTGCACGTCTGTAGCTGATATTTGAATGTAATTCACTCATTCAGTGAGTACTTAATACCTCACTGGTGTGATACTCCTATAGCAATAAGAAAAATAATTTTAGTATAATTTATGTAAGTAATGTATGCATCATATAATTTAGTAATTCCATGAGTAACTTGATTATACAACTGGATTTTGAAATGGACACTTTTGCAATTTAAAAAGTTTTTTTTTTCATTTCTGATAAGTTGGAATGAATAACTTTGCTTTCCTGCTGGCCCAAGTATTTAATGATTTTTAAATATTTGGAAATAGTTCTGTGCATTAGAGACCCCTTTACTTAAAGAAAATCCAGCTTGCATGCTTTGGCAAAGATGAGCACTCCTAACACGTGTCCTGTGATCAGACTCTGGTCTTCAGTGTTTTCAAAGTGTGGAAACGCCCCACACATTAACTCCCCGTCTTTGTCTTCATGCGCCCGAACACTGTAGGGGACAGTTTTGCTCCAGAGGCTATGTCACATCCGCACATCTACAAATTAGAAAATTACTTCCTGATCATATGTATTCTTTAAAATTCTTTTCTTTAAAGTCTTTTTTTTAAAGATTATTTATTTATTTATCTTTAGAGGGGAAGAGAAGGAGAGAGGGAGAGAAATATCAATGTATGGTTGCCTCTCGTGCATCCCTTGCTGTGAACTGGCCTGCAACCCAGGCATGTGCCCTGACTAGGAATTGAACTGTGATCCTTTGGTTCTCAGGCCCACCCTTAATCCACTGAGCTACACCAGCCGGGGCAAATGTATTCTTTCAAAATACAAGTTTGAGCCATTATAACAAAGTTTATGAATTAGAATAATCACAAAGGACATTATTTAAACCACTGTTTAAATGTCTCATGTGCCTTCCAAGTGCACACACTGTCACTGGCCCTGCTGTCTCTCCTCGAGTCCTGCCTCAGTTCCTAACAGCAGAGGCGTGGAGAAAAGGCAGTAGCCACAGTTACCATCGTGAAGGGGGGACAGAGGAGGGTGGCGGGATCATCATTTTACATCTGGAACCACTGGTTTTTTTAAGACTCACCTCCAAGTTGAGGGGTGGTCATTTTTCAGTCTGGCTTTGGTTATCACCAAGTTAAGGCGGCTGTTGTCACCTCTGGAGCCTGCCCAGGAATGTGACTGTAGGGAGAGGGCTGGGTGAGGCCACGCAGACACAGCAGCTGGGAACCAGCCCAGGTGCCGTGGGGTAACTTCCGATGCTTCTGTTTCTGGGGATCTTTGGAAAAATACCTAAGTCACCTACAGAAAAACAGATCGTATCGAAGGAGTTTGCCCGAGTTGTCGCTTTCTGGATTTTTCCCACCATGCTGATGTGGATAATTTAAAAAAATATTTTATTTATTTAGTTTTAGAGAGAAGGGAAGGGAGAGAGAGAAGGAAAGAAACATCAATGTGTGGTTGCTCCTTACGTGCCCCCTACTGGGGACCTGGCCCACAACCCAGGCATGTGCCCCGGCTGGGAATTGAATTGGCAACCCTTTGGTTCACAGGTTGGCACTCAGTGCATTGTGCTACACCAGCCAGGGCCAATGTGGATAATTAAACAGGGGTAGAGGTGGGTACCAAAACCATAGCAGGTATAAAGAAAATGGAAGGAGATGTCTTCAAGGATGGCAGCCAGGAGGGCTGGCACAGGATGCTGAGCTGGACCACACAGGAGTCTGGTGTTTTGGTGTTTGGTCCCCTCACACTGCAGACGTCCTTTGGCCTCTTTCTTGTGCCTGCTGAGGAGGGCTGGACACCCTGAGTTTAGATGTAAAAGCTTCTAGGCTCCCTTCATTAGTGTAACAGGGAACTTGGAACTGTTTCCGAGAGAGACACTCAGCTTCATAATTCACACTCCCTACTTCTCTCAGAAAAGAGACTTTTAAAAAGTACCATAAAATTAAACTAGCCAGTAATACCATTGAACCTTACGTGTTTAAAAGAAGTACTCAGGTCTGTGTGTCCATGGCCAGTCATCTATTACTCTCTTCTGTTGCTTTGTGGATATGTTGACATTTTTAAAGGATTTTTTTTTTAGCCTTTAATAGTACAGTGATTGATTTTTAACAGTTCCATATTTGACATTGTTTTTGATCTTCTTTTTACTTTGTTCCCTGCTTTTTGCATTCTCCTCCCTACCCCTTCCTCCTCTTCATCCCATTTTTGACTGTTGGGTTGTTTTGTTTCCATGTCTGTTGTGTGTTGTTTGTTTTTGGTTTTTGTCGGTCTGGTGTTCTCTCCTTTCTCTCGTTCCCCACCTCCTGCTGCTCTAGCCCCACAGGCTGTGGAAGCTGGCCGAGCAGGTAGGGATTTCCTCTTTATCCACACCAGCACCTGCCCACCCACCCACCACTGATCTGTCCGCTCCCCGCAGTGGGGCAGACGAGGAGTTGAGTGCCCAGACTGACTGGGGGTTACAGACCACGTGGTCGAGAGGACTGATGCCAACCTGACGTCATTCCTCCGATCTGTCCAAATGCTTCACACTCGTGACGAATGCTGTACTTTCATTCATTGTACAGGATCAGTGGTTTCTTTGCCACTTTGGGGCCATCTCTATTTTACTTCATTTTCCTCTTTTAGTGATCTGTTTTCTCCTTTGTTTACTTACTAATTGGCTCTCTGTGGTTATGCATTTTGCATGACTCAACATCAAACCACTTCTCCAGTCAGCATGGGTCTGTGACACAGCTCCACTGAACAGACGTCACAGGTTAGAAAGAGCGCTCTCTGCCTTGGACCATAGAGTGAGTGAGCTTCCAGCTGGAGGCTGGCTGCATGCAATCTCTGCCTTGGCGGTGAGATCCCAGTGACCAGGGTTCTTTAGTAGGGTAGTGTGTCTTTGTGAAAGTATCTTTATTTTTATATCTTTATGTATATAAACGTGCCTTTGGCACAAAATTAAAATTCTCTCCTGAAGAATTTTAGTTCTTCGAATAAATTCTGAGCAAGTCCCTTATTTTTGGCAAATTTGTTTTTGGTTCCATCTTTTTCTACCCAAGGTATTCGTTGTATTGCCTTCCCAAGAAATGTATGTAGGTGTTTGGCTTGTAATGTAGCTTTAATGACATTGCTCTTACCTGGACAGAGCTTGGTGGTCAGAAGTCAACTCAGCATGTAATACGAAGGGATTTACGGTGCAAGATAAGATTTCTGGGTCCCAGGTTAAATAAGCAGCCAGATAGCTCAGAGCTCAGACCTCCGAGCGCTGCCCTGCTCCCTAGTGGTAAACTCCCAACCTCCGAACCTACGACACAGACAAAAATAACCTCCCACAGCTGGAGGAAAACCAAGACAAAACTAGAACTAAAAGGAACAAGACAATTATCTCTTATCTCTTTTTCCTTAATCTGTCCATTCATGTCCCATCTTCTCCTTCAGTTTTGGGAGCTCTACATATTTTTGGATGCACACAATCAAATTGCTCAGCAAATGAAGCTTATATCCCTGATGGCCTGCTTTGGCCAGGCCAGCGCTGTCAACCTTTTTCTTTCTTTCTTTCTTTTTTTTTTTTTGAAAGACACGTGGCCTGCCTCTTTTTCTTATTTTCTAAACGTGATTGACAGTCAAGCTATGTGAACGTCCAGTATTATTCTAATAAGTTCCTCTGAGAATTGAGGTTATGAAACCGAAAGCTAACAGGAGTCACGGAGAGGTGTGGTTTCAGTGCTTTTTATTCTTGTTCAGGTTCAGATTTCACCCAGAATATGCTCACTAGCTTGTAGGGAACAGACCCAGACTGCCCCACACATACAGGAGTTAACCACACTGTGTCCTTGCTTGCAGGGGACCTCAGGACCTGATCCCACCACCGTCTATGTTGACATGAGAGCTCTGAGGCATGACAGGTATGATGCACTTGTGATGTGTTCTCGGTTGCCAGGCGTGCAGGTCCCCCCTGGAAAAGGAGGGGCGGCAACGTTTTTCTCCTCCAACTGCAGTCAGTCCTCTTACGAGTACAGCAGTAGAGGTGGGCGAGTTGGCTTGAACTTCAACTCTCTCCACGTTCTGTTTTGATAACATACAATTGACTTTTTATCGTAAGGTACAAATGGAAATTGCTGCACCATAGCCAGGTGCGATCAGAGTTGTGTTTTCTAAGTTTAACCAGAACGCTTGATTTCTTTCCTCTTTGGGCATAATTGTGTACTTCATAAAATCTCAACACATTTCTTTACATGAATTAAAATTTTTTTGTCAAGGAGATTCCATGAAAAACAAAAATGCAAGTCAAGTCACCTTTCTGTGCAGCTTCCTAAGCAGCCTTGAGCAAGGGTGAAGGGTTGTGTTACTGGTGGCTGCTTATAAGCTCCCCTCGAGAAACTTAGTGCCCAGGGAGATACCAGTTGCCTGCCTGGCCCCGGTAGCCCTTGTTTTGGGCCCTGCTGTTTGAAGGGACCACAGAGGCGAGAGCCCGTCTTGTGGGAGCCCCCCTGGGAGGCTGAGCACTGTAGCAAAATCCCATCTGGAACGTTTTCAAAATTCAGAAATTTACCTTGAAGAGATCAAGTAACTGATTCATGCACATTTTCAAATGTAATATGTAGGCTTTAAAACAAACGTACTTTACTCCCTATAAAAATTATTTGAAAAAAAACTATAGCTTCAAAAGGTAAGCAGTAGCTCACCAGAGACCCTGTGTGAGTGACATTTAGGCAGTTCTCTCTGAGGCCGGAACTCAGAGCACATGAGAAACACACACAGTAAGACCATGTGGATGAAAACGGCTGACCTTTGGGTCTTGAGAGAACAGCCTGCAGCGTCCATCCCCTTCATCTACAAGAACAGTGATGGTTGAAGGGCAGCTACCTCCTTCTGTGTATGAGTGTCCCGGAATGGCCGGAGGGTTGGGAGGAGGGACTTAGGGAGTTTTTCTTTCCTGGAAAAGGACAGGAGCATAAAAGACTCCTTTCTAACAATTTTTGGACCTGCCCTTTTGGCTCTCTTCAATGTGGCAAGTCTTCCTATTGAGAAAAGGTGTGATTTAGGGAAAGTAAAATAAAATTAGAGCCAGTACAGCGTATGGCAGTAAGGTCATACAATTTCAATATCAGACCAGTGTGTGCTTTAGGAAGACCCAGGAGAGGTGCGTCCTAGGAAAAGCTTCTTGGTGAGTTACTAATTCTTTGAGCTTGGCAAGTCTGTAATCCTCTTACATGATAGTTTTCTAATCTATAAAATAATCTCTAATGCATCTCCCTCATAAGGTCACCCAAAATAGAAATGACAGTACTTTATGAACTGGGAGTTGGCTGTGCAGTCATGTGTTATTAAAGATGACCTTCAGTAATATCAGTGACCATTACAATTAAGAGTAATGTTGATTAGCATCAGTGATCCAGACAAGCGTCCCCAGTTCCAGGCACGCCGACCCGGCCGTGCCCCCCCCAGTGCCACCCCCCCCAACCTCGTGTCTCATATGCTCAGTTCTCTCCTGGGCGAGGACATGTGGCTGCGAGCTGAGGGGAGCTCTTCAGACACCACACAGGTTTGCACTGGACTTCTCCCTTCATCTTCGTCAGTGTTTGACTTAGAGAAACCAGAGCAAAGCCATGCCCGGGTGGAGAGACACGAAACAGCTCCTCCCTCGTGCTCTCCATTTCAGGAGCTGCTGCCCCGGGCGCTCAGAGTCACGGCTCCCTTCACTGCCTTCTCCTGGCTGTTGGCAGCACAGGGCCCAGCCGTTCTCTCTCGCACTTGGCTCTTGCCCTCGCCCTCTTCCTTTCACTTTTTCTTTTTTATCAACACCTGCTGTTTGGATCTGGACCTCTCTGACCAGGTCTCTCTGTCTCAGTCCCTGGCCATGGTGTTGCTCCTGCCCTCCTTTTTCAGGCAGCAGGGCTCGGTTCGTGGTCCTGCCCCATCCTGCTGGGCTCCTTCTTCTGAAAGTGGCAGGAAGTCTCAGAAGTACCTCCCCTTTTCCTCGCCCTTTGGAGACCACAGCCCAGGGACCTTCGGTGTCACGGCCTTGCCCATGCCTCTCCTGTTTCTTCACCTCCCTCCACACTGTTGAAATTCTCCTCATTCTGTCAAACGCAGCTCAAATACTGTCTCCTCTGAATATTCCCCAGTGAAAATATCATCTAGCTTGAAATTTTCAGCATTACTTTCAACCTTATCATCATATATCACATGTACCCTATGCCGTAGCTTGTGCGACATAAGGCTCTGGGGGTTGACCAATCAGAGTTCAACCCAACTTTCTTCTCCAGTCCTTAGACAAGCTCTGTAACCTCAGTGTTCCTGGGCTCAGAATGGATACACTAAAACCAACCTTCAAGGGACCCAGGCAGTGCCAGCAGGAACGGAAGCTGTCCCTGGGAGTGGGGTGGCTGTGAGGATTGTGCTACCCATGGCGAGGCGGTGTCCTCCCCATGGAGAACTTGCTTCTTCATTCCCCACCACCCAGAAAGGTGGAAGAGGGCTCGTCTGCTCCAAAGACTCAGTGGGGGAGAAGATGAGACAGGAGAGCCTATCTCTTTCTTGTCACTACTCTCATTTTTTTTTTTAACTGGGGCTTTTGTCTTCTTAACTTGAGCTGTATAGGCAAACCTTGTTTTACTGCACTTCACAGATGTTGCATATTTTATACATTGAAGGCAAGACCCTCCACCAGCAAAAAGATTGTGATTCTCTTTATTATGTCAGTTTCATACAGCGCCAAAACACAGGGAAGTGGGTTGCTCTGCCCTGGTGAATACCTAAAGCTCTGCTTCTTACAATGTAATATGTGGGCCAAGACTAGGAAATATGGCCCAAATGAAAGAACAGATCAAAATTCCAGGAAAACAACTACATGACAAAAAGCCAACCTATCAGATACAGAGTTCAAAACACTGGTAATCAGGATGCTCACAGATATGGTTGAGTATGGTCACAAAATAGAGGGAAAAGTGAAGGCTATGCTAGGTAAAATAAAGAAAAATATACAGGCAACCGACAGTGAAAAGAAGGAAACCAGGACTGAAATGAACAATTTGGAGCAGAAGGAAGAAAGAAACATTCAGCCAAAATAGAGTGAAGAAACAAGAATTCAGAAAAATGAGGAGAGGCTCAGGGACCTCCAGGACATCTTTATACATTTCAGTATCTGAATCACAGGGGTGCCAGAAGGAGAAGAGCAAGAGCAAGAAATTGAAAACTTATTTGAACAAATAATAAAGGAGAATTTCCCCAATCTGGCAAAGGAAATAGACTTCCAGAAAGTCCAGGAAGCTCAGAGAGTCCCAAAGAAGTTGGACCTGAGGAAGCATGCACCAAGGCACATCATCATTAAGTTACCTAAGATTAAAGGTAAAGAAAGAATCTTAAAAGCAGCAAGAGGAAAGGAGTTACCTACAAAGGAGTGCCCATAAAACTGTCAGCTGATTTCTCAAAAGAAAACTTACAGTAAAAAAAAAGGGCTGGAAAGAAATATTCAAAGTCATGAAAGGAGAGGACCTACATCCAATTTCTCTGTCCAGCAAAGCTATCATTTAGAATGAAAGAGCAGATAAAGTGCTTCTCAGATAAGGTCAAGTTAAAGGAGTTCATCATTACCAAGCCCTTATTATATGAAATGTGGAAGGGACTTAAGAAATAGAAGATGGAAAACTATGAAGAGTTAAATGACAACAAACTCACAACTATCAATAACTGAACCTAAAAGCAAAAAGGAAAACGAAGCAAACAACTAGAACAGGAACAGAACTGGAGAAATGGAGAACATGGAGGGTTTTCAGTGGCAGGGGGGAGATGAATGGGTGGGGGAATGGTACAGAGAATATGAAGCATAGTTTGTAGGCATAAAATAAGGAGACGTTAAGAATTATAGAGGAAACAAGCTGAGGAACTTACATGTACAACCCATGAACATGAACTAAGGGATGTGGGAGGAATTCTGGAAGGCCAGGGGGTGAGGGAGTGCAGGATAGATGGGGGATAAAGGGCAGAAAAAAAACTGGGAATACTATAATAGCATAATCAGTAAAATACACCTAAAATTTTTTTTAAATAATTTTTTTTCTACTGCTTTATTCATTAAAGCTTACCCCAAAGACCTCTACCAAATCCTCTAAATTGGGGCTGCAGATAAAATACAGAACAGCCAGTTAAATTTGAATTTCAGATAGAAGATAAATTTTTATTACAACTATATTCCAAATATGCATGGGATATACTTGACAAAATTTTTGTCATTTATGTGAAATGCACTTTTAACCAGGCGTCCCATATTTTGTTTGCTACCTCTGGCCACCCTAACTCTAAAATCAGATGTCAGATCTCACAGCCATGGCTGTTGCTAGTCCCATGTTTGCTGTGACTGGGGAGGGATCTGTTCCCAGGGAGCTTGTGCCCTAAAGGATCTTCCACTGCAGACCACTATCTCAGACATACTAAAATTCCTATTTCTAGACAAAGTTGTAAACTAGTCTCCTGATTTATCATTATGAGGTATGCTTCTCTATGGTCAGATGGACGACAGCCCTCCTGGACATACTGTGCAGGAAGTCGAGCTCCTGCCTGTGTCCAGGGGCTGCACACCCCCAGCCACCACTCACCCTGGTTAGAAACCCAAGGAAGGGGTCAGGCCGAGGGCAGCATCCTGTCATTTTCAGGAGGTGGGCAAGGTGTTTCTGCAGTGCTCTTTAAGGCCTAAAGTACCCCTCTAGAGCATGAGACAGAGGCAGCAGGAAGAGCTTGATGTCTCCATTGTCAGGACCCAGTTGCATGAAGGAGCAAGGGTCCACTTGACACCCAGCAGTGGTTCAGCATCTTTAGGTTTTCAAAAACTGCCCAGTAGATCTGGTCCAGATAGTGGCATGAGTTCTGATTCTCGATGTGGGGGCCAACATCGCGGTGGAGCCTG